ATAGGTGATATATTGCTTTATTTATCTAAATGACATCAAACTGTCAAGTCACTGATCCATTGTTTTTAGAATATACAAGAAAAAAATCAGGTATTTATAATAATTATGCATATATATATAATGATAAATTTAAATTTAAAATTAATTTATCTTTATTTAGAATTTGATAATAGAATTTGGTATAAATTATCATGAATAGGTACAAATAAATTAAGAGAAATATTATGCCAAATAACTTTAAAAACCAGAATTGATGTTAATGTACATAAAATCACAAATCACAGTGCACGAAGAACTGTGATTATAATTTTAAAAGCTTCAGATATACCTGAAAATGAGATAATGTGTTTTTCTGGTCATAAATCACATGAAGGAGTTAAAACATATAGCAAACCCACTGATAATCAACAATTAAGATCAATGGCAACACTAATTCTATATACAACAATTGGTAAAAATCTTGAAGAATTCTATTCTTATCTGGGTAATTTGTATACTCATAAATCTGATAGTGAGGATAACAATAATAATGTTGTAAGTAGTAACTATGTAGATAAAAATAATATGAATGATAAGCGTGTAGTTGAAAATGAATACAAAAGTAAAATTTTTTTTTTAAATTTAAAAAAAATATTACTAATTTTTATTTGATACATTTAAGATAATCAAGCTAACAATAACATACCACAAAAAAAACTAAAGATAACTAAAACTATAACTAAAGCTTCAACCCATTCTTAAATTAATTCTAAACTTTATTAGCTATTTAAACCTCCTCTTTTAAAAAAAAATCTGTCAAACAATGAAAGTCAAACATCGTCACAAGAAAATCAACAAATAATTTAACAAAATATAAACCTGGATCAAGAAAAAAATAACCAAGTTCAAGCACAGGCACCAAGTCACTTCAATTTTCAATCAAATCATCAAGCTCTTGATCCGATTATACCAAATATTATATTGCAAATTCTACCTACAGACAAACCATTAACAATTACATTAAATCTTAAATTTGAGATTTAAAAATATAATATATAATTAAGTTTTTTTATTATGTAAAAAAAA